ATTTGGGGGACATCCTTTTAATTTATATTGGTTTTATTTGGGGGCATCCTTTTAATTTATATTGGTTTTATTTGGGGGACATCCTTTTAATTTATATTGGTTTTATTTGGGGGCATCCTTTTAATTTATATTGGTTTTATTTGAGGGGACATCCTTTTAATTTATATTGGTTTTATTTGGGGGACATCCTTTTAATTTATATTGGTTTTATTTGGGGGGACATCCTTTTAATTTATATTGGTTTTATTTGGGTGGGACATCCTTGTCAGAGCCCATTTCAATAAGAATAATGCAAGAGTTATGACATTCCATGATAAGGCTTTAATGTTGATCTAAAGAGTATAATATATTAGGAAGGAGATGTGTTACTTATAAAATATTTTGTGATTGTGTTCTCAGAGAATCCGATCAACTGTTGATGAAAAAGAACAGAAGCAGTTGCTCATGGATTTAGAGGTGGTTATGAGAAGCAATGATTGTCCTTTTATTGTCCAGTTTTTTGGAGCAATATTTAAAGAGGTGAGAATTCAGCTCATAAGCTGATGTGACCAGAGTTTTTCTTAATTTTCATGATATTTCATGAAGAGTCAAATAATAAATATGATGATTTTGTCCTGGGTATAAACTATTTGTTTATATTATAGACTTTTACAAAATTCAGTAATATATTCTAAGTTTGTTTGTTTTTTGCTGTGGGGATGTTGCCGTTTAACATTTTGATGCATTATTGGTAACAGATTTGTTTTGTGTAGCCGTAGAGAAGTGCTCGTTATGTCTTTACCGTATTTTTGAGATTATCAAAAAAGGTTCCTTACATTCCACACTTTTATTTTCTTCCACCAAAGGGAGATTGCTGGATCTGTATGGAACTGATGGACTCATCGGTAGACAAGTTTTACAAGTTTGTGTATGAAAAAATGTATCGGACAATCCCAGAGTATATTCTAGGCAAAATTACAGTAGCAGTAAGTATTAACTTAAAAACTTCAAGATACTCTCCATCTTTAACTTATTTGTAGTATCGACTTCATCTCTAGGGGCTTGATGTTACTATTTGATTATTATAGATTGAGCAAAAACTGAACATATTAAAGTGTATGATTTTGTTCAGATGAAATAAGTTGATGTTTTACTGCAAGTGTGAAATCAGAAAATCAATGTGTAATTTTTAGATTTTGTGTCATGAATATTTAGAATTGACTCTCTGTATTTCTGTTGCTAGACTGTTAAAGCCCTCAATTATCTGAAGGACCATCTTAACATTATCCACAGAGGTAAGCATGTCTTCATTCTCGTAACTAAGTAACGAGGTAGATTTTTGCACGTGGAGTATATGAAACAAAATATATCTTTTTATGTTAGAAATTGAAATAATGTATAGTACTAAAATTTGAATTATAATCTACAGTTTGATACCAAACTTATTGACATAAATTCATAAAATAGTAGTTCAATAAAATTTTGAATGCGAGTCTACAAATGTGATGACTTGACCCGTGTAGAAAGGTTTAAACTAGGTTTGACCAGTTTATGGGGCAGTCTCTGGTTAGACCAGCAGATGATTCAGGAATTGCTAATGAGTTTTGTATGTTTGTTTGTTTTTGCTAATTTTTATAAATTTGATTCAGGAATTTCTAAAGCTTATTTTGGACATTTTGAAGAGAACAAACATATTTATTTCCTGTGAAATATTTTTACCTGAGATTCGAATTTATTAAATACTCTTTGTGTTAGTGATTTTGAGTGGTTTGAGTCTCTCTCTCTCTGTAACCATTAACCAGATGTGAAACCTAGTAACATCTTACTTGATAAACGAGGGAACATCAAACTGTGTGACTTTGGTATTAGTGGTCAGCTCGTGGACTCCATAGCCAAAACGAGGGATGCAGGATGTAGACCTTACATGGCAGTAAGTAGAGCTGGATTGTGTTTCTGAATATAAAATATTAGGATGACATCTTTGCCAAAAGAAAATGGGTAGATTTGGCTGTAGAGAGTACGTTGTAGAAAGTTACGGTAATAGTTTCATTTATCTCGAGTCCAGTTTCTTGGCTTCTAGCCAGATTAGTAGATACACAAGTATTATTCAGTTTTCTGTGAAATATTAGTGGTGTCTTATTATGTTTATTTTCATAATTGGCAGCTCACCCGAAGAAGGAAGATTCTCTCGTGTCAAAATTTTGTTACTGAATATTATATTCTATAGGTTTTCCTGTTAATATGCATTGTTGGTATTAAACTTTCAGTTTTCAAGGTTTTAATCAAAATAGTTTGAAATTAATCTGTGTTATTAATTCATCTATCTGTCTTGTATAAAATTAAAATAAGCTATTGTATTTCAGCCAGAGAGAATTGACCCAAGTCGAGCACGAGGTTACGATGTCCGGTCTGATGTGTGGAGTTTAGGAATAACTTTGGTATGTGAGTGTTTACCTTACAAATTGATACTGGATGTAATAATAAACATTAGTGTTAATACTGGATATAATAACATTAGTGTTGATACTGGATATGATAATTAACATTAGTGTTGATACTGGATATAATGATTAACATTAGTGTTCATACTGGATATAATAACATTAATGTTGATACTGGATATAATAATTAACATTAGTGTTGATACTGGATATAATAACATTAGTGTTAATACTGGATGTAATAATTAACATTAGTGTTGATACTGGATATAATAACATTAGTGTTGATACTGGATATAATAACATTAGTGTTGATACTGGATATA